CTTCTGGCTATAGAGTAAACGCTAACCCAGCAACCCCTGGACTACGTCACCCCAGTCCTGCTGCCCTGCAGATGGCAGAGTGCCTCTGAATCTGGTCTCCCATTCTCTGCAAACGATTCGCTCCAGCCCCGACTCACAGCCATCGCTGGATCCCTACTGCCTACAGAAGAGAGGCTAAACTTCCTAGCTTGAAACACAGGCCTGTTACAATCCAGCCCCAATTTGTTTATCCAATATGATCTTCTACACCAGCCTACAACTAGAAACATAGATTTCCTGTAAATTTTCCAAGTCGGTGGTGCCAGAGGAATTCAGCAGAAGGAGAGGTCACTTCTGGCTGAGGCCATCAGGCCAGACCCCATGGAAGGCATGTGTGTGTGTGCGTGCTCGCACGCACGTGTGTGTGGCGGGAGGTATTATGCAGCATCATGCACTGGACCAGCTTGTTACGCTTCTGCCCTCCTCCTCCCTACTTCACCCCACCATGGGCTCGTAAGCATAAGGGACATACACTTGCAAATCCGTGTGGATGCAGGAAATGCTTTTCTGGACTTGAAGATTTATCAAACTCCAGACATTCAGGAACAGAATCAGACTGGAACAAATCACAAAAGCTAGCAACTGCCTATGACAAGCCCCTTGCTAGTGCTGGACCAGAGTGTGAGAGAGGGTATGGAGGGGCTCCTCCATGGCTCCTGACAGCCCAGTTTGCTGGGCTGGCTTCCATTTCGCCGCCCCTGAGCCCTGCTGCTCCACGAGAGAACGAGCACTTGGAGGAGCAGAGAGCCTGAAGGCAGGAGGAAAACATTTTAAGAAACTGCCCTCTTTCTGGACCCCTCGACTTTTCAGTTTGGACCTTTGGAGGGGAGGGTGTAAGAAGGGTCAAGGAAAAACATCCCACCTTCCTGCCGTCTGTGCTCTGGCACCTCAGTGCTATGTGTCAGTGGCCAGGCAGGGGAGGGGGAGATGGGGCTGAGCTTGGAATGAAGGGACAGAAGACCAGACCAGACCAGTGGACGCCTAAAGTGGCCAGCTCCTCCCTTCCCAGGCAGCGTCTCGAGCCAGAGAATGGCGAGGCCAGAGGCAAAGCAACAAGAGGGAAGGGCGTCACGGAAGCAAAGACGTAAATTCTCGCTGCCCCAGCTCCACTGGGGAGACCCCTTCACAGTGCCACACTCTCCTGTCAAGTCCATATCATAACTCACCCAGCAGAACGCCACCACCGCACACCCATCCTGAATGGGGTCCTTGTACACGACGAGACAGAGAAAGACCAAAAAACGGAATCGGAGCTGAGAGGTGAAGAGAGCGAGTGAGCACGAGGATGAGGAAAAAGAAAGAGAACTAATGAGCTCTTGTTGGAATTAATTTTCAAAGAGCAAACAAAAGCAGTTAATGTGGGAGGGCGGAATCCCCGGGTTCAGCTGCTCTAGGAAGCCGCCCGGCTGACTGGAGGCCTGGCTGTCTGCTCTGTGATTACAAAGAAGGTGGGAGGCTGCTCACTGGAGGGGAATCCAGGGGCAACGACTGCCGTGTGCTCGGGGAGGGGAGGAGTAACTGGGAAGCACGTACCAGAGTAATTGCGTGTGTTGGTGAACAACGCACACACCCAAAGACGCTGACAGGGCGGTTCCAGCACCCACATCGCTAGCCATAAAGGCAGCCGAAAAGTGTAGAGAGCTTGTCAAACCCTTGAGGACAAGCAGACCCGCCACGATAGGCAGGACGGAGCGAACGCCCCCTCTATGCCGAGCACTGGAGGCTTTGCACGTCTTATTTCTTTCATCCAAACAACCCTAGGAGGTAAGTACTACCCTCCCCACTTTACAGATGAAGAAATTGAGGCTCCAAGACACTAAGTGTACAGGAGAAAACATTTGCCTGAAGTTCCCAAAGTCCTAGGTCTGAATCATGGCTCCATGACTTTCTAACTATCGGACCCTAGAGTGTCACTTTGGACGTGTATTTAACATCTTCAAATCTTGGTTTCATCATCTGTAAAATAGGGATACTGCTGCATACTTCCCAGGTTGCTGTAAACATTTAATCAGATAATTTATATGACGCTCCTGGCCGGTGCTGACAAGTGCTCATACTAAGTGTTGAGTAAAAGTTTGTCCTCTCCCTGCCCCCACTTTCATTAAGATAATTCATTCATTCACCAGACATTGGAGTGTCCAGTGTATTAAAAAGGGGAAGGGAACGGGATTTATGGAAGCCCTTTTCCATGCCAGGCGCTGTACTGGTCTTGGGGTAGGGTGTGGAGATTAACAGGAAGAACGGGGCAGAGTCCCTGCCTTCAGCCAGGGCTTTACAGCCTAACAAGCCAGCCCATAAATAGCTGAGTGCTGGCGATGCGTGGTAAGAGCTGTGTAAGACAAGGGCAGACAAAGAGACAGAGGCTTGGAGTTCAGAAGGGTGGGGGCAGGAGGAGGGACGCAGGAAGAGAGACAGGACTGGTGTGGGGAACGCGCAGGATCTGGAGTGGAAGTGAAGGGGCGGGGTCTCGTCTGGGCTCTCCTGAGGGCCTGACAGGATTCACAGGATACTTGCTTCCCGTCTTCAACTGTGGAGGATCAAAGATGGCTGCAAATTCTGCTAACCCCACCACTGAGAGGCCAAGTCTGTTCCCCCTCCCCTTGCATCTGAGTGGGCCTGTGACTCAGTTTGACCAACAGAATGTAACAGAAGTGACGCTGTGTGATTCCTCATGCTAGAGCATAAGAAGCTTTCAAGTTTCCACGTGGGGCTCTTGGGACACTCTCTCTTGAGATGCTCCTTCTCGGAACCAACCGCCACGCTGAGGGAGGCCCAGGACACATGGAGAGGCCCCGTGTGTGTACTCCGGTTGACAGCCCAGCTGAGCTCCCAGACAACAGCCATGTGAGGAGCCACCTTGGTTGTCCAGCCCCGTCTGGCCTCCAGATGACCACAAGGGCAGGAGACAACCCAAGCAAGCCCCCAGCTGAGCCCAGCTAACCCGAGAACCCTGAGAGGTAACAACAGACGGGGGTCCTCTGCCACTGCGTGTTGGGGTGATCCATGTGTAGCAATAGATAACCAGAGCACCAAATCTCTCCTTCACTAACTGAGGTTGTTACCAGGGAAGTTGGAGCAAGGATCATTCTAGAAACGGATGGGAAAAGAGGTGAGAAAAGAAGGCATTGTGTATTGGAAGAGGGTGGGGAGGGAATCAGGTAAACTCCTGCAGCCTCCAGCTCCCACCGCCTCAGCTCCTCCCAGGATCAACACAACTCACAAATCCAAGCTAGCCTGGGAGTACCGGGGGTCAGTAGCGTATAAAGACGCTTATAGTGGAGCTATTCATAACAGCAACAAACTGGAGACAACCCAAATCCCCAGGACTAAGAGAAGAGCAATACAGCAATGGAGGCACATGACAGAATTATTTATCGCTATTTAACATGACAAATTTATGAACCATTGTCACACCGGGAAGTGTTGGTATAAAATAACGTTAAACAAAAAAATGCATGGCACAGGACAAAGGCTACACGCTAATTACAACCATGTAAACATGTTAACAAAGATCAGAAGACCTTGGAATAAGGCACAGAGTTTAGGATTTACTTCCCCCTTTTTAAGGCAAAGTTAAGTACTACTTTCTAAAAAGCATCAATTCAACCTCATAAATCCTCAAAATGGGGTCATGGCTGCATAGGAATTAGGAGATGATCTTTTAGAAGATAGGAACATGGTTTCTGTCACCCAGGGAATGTGGGTGAAACCCTGGGGAGGCGGTGCTAGACGACAGGGATGGAAGAGCGGGAGGGGCTGTGGCACCCCCTCAGCAGGGGGGCTGAATGTTAGGAAACAAACCTCGGTGTTTGCTGACACAGTACAAGGAGAAGGACTCACACAAAAGCCACCCATTATCCCATAATTATTGTCTCTCTCGTGCCTGCAATTAACGGCTGTCTGAGAGGCGGCTGCTGGGTAAATAAATGCTCACGCGCATTAGAGTCGATCAGCCAGCTGAAGCACCAATTAACGGCCCACTGCAGAGACGCTCCCAGCATCCAGCAGCAACTGGGGGAGGGAGGGGACAGGACAGCATAGCACAGGCCTTGGGCGCTCCTTCCCCAGAAGCAGGGGAGGGCTGCTCAGAGCCACATCCTGAGCCCCAGGGTAGGAGCCAGTCTTGCCCCAGATGAGCCAAGCTTGGCATGCAGGTGCTCTGGCCCCCAAGGCCAAGTCAGAGGGGCCTGTATGCATTCGTGTGTCGGTCAGCAAGGTTCCTGGGAGCTGCTGCAGCTCTGGCATAGGGTAGCCCTGGGCCTGTGGGAGTCTGTGAAGGGAAAGAGATGCAGGAGAAGGCCTCAGAGGTGCTGTCCCCTCCTGAGTTACGGGAGGACAGAAACAGAGGGCAAAGAGAGGAATCAGACACAGAGCCATCTTGACTGACTTGCGCTGAAACTGACTCACACTGGCCTTTGGCTGTTTTTCTTAAGCAGCAAGCTTAGAAACATGGAAAGGAGCTAGTGTCAGAAAAGTCCAAGATGATGCTTTTGTCCAGAGGAGAAAGGCAGGAGAGCAAGCGGCTGATAGGAGGCACCCCAAGTCCTCTCCCAGGGATTTGGGGGAGACGAGGGTGCCCTGAAGTCCAGCACAGCCTGCCCAGAGCCTGTCCCCAGCTACACCCGCCAGCCAGGCCGTCTCCTACCACGGACTGCAGCCAGTAGAGCTCAGGCTGTGGAACCAGGCTGCCAGGGAGCCCCCGAGACCAGGGGGCAGATCAAGCCCATTAGAGATGATCTGGTCCACTGGTTCTCAATCCTGGCTTCACCCTAGAAATACGCAGAGAGCTCTTTAAAAATACTCATGCCTGGGTACCACCACAGACCAACTGAATCAGGATCTCTGGGCAAGGTAGGGGAGGCCCAGGCATATGCATTTCTTAATGCACCCCAGGGAGTGCTGACGACTACTCCAATTTCCTCCATTACAGATGAAGAAACAGGCACTGGGGGTGGTAATACCTTGCCAAAGGTGACTGAGGCAGCAGGGAACAGAGCAGGAGCTCCAACCAGCTCATCCGATGGCTGGGATGCGGCTCCGCATTCGGGACTGCTGGCTGAAGGAAGGAAGGAGCCGCCAATGGTGCATCACAGGGGTCTGCTCGTGATCCTGCCATGTGCCACGTTTTCGTCCTCCATGATCTGCATAAACACTCAGAAGGCAAGCCTCCCACATTTGCTACTGACAAAGCCAGGAGGGATGGCTAACACGTTGACAGCAGAATCAGGATTCCATATACTGAAATAATGGCCTAACCCCACATTTAACATTTAAAAGATTCCAATTGTACATATAATCCAAAGCTTTGAGATACGCTCAAGAGCATGTTACCAATAAAATGGGGAAAACACGACGACAATCTATATTTTTTAATGTATGTTTTATAAAAGCCTTATTACTGGTATTTCAAGAAGCAAACGGGGGCACGTGGAGAGTCAGTGATCAAATATCCTGGAGATACTTTTATGTTTGTCCCCAGCAGCCTCGTCAGTAGGACTGATTTCAAGATCTTGGAAGACAGGATGCTCCCGCTCAACCTCATTCCTACCCCAAATTGAACACGTGGAACAGCACGTCTTAAACTGTAACGTACGTGAGTCACCAGCAAATCTGGTCAAAACACAGACTCGGAGTCAGTAGGTCGGGAGTGAGGCCTGCGATTCTGCATTTCTAACAAGCTTCCAGGTGATACAGATGCTGCTGCCCCATGAAGAGGAAAGATTGAGACGTCCTCGGGGGCTTCCCTGTGAAACCAGGTCCTTGGAATATGCTTGGGGCCCTGTGTCCCGTTCCCTACAGCCTGCGAACCGTGAGAAGCGGAGGAGCAGGGTTTGGAGGTTAGGAAGGTCCCAACAGCACCTGCTCAGCTGGCATGATGAGCAGAGCGAAAGAGAAGAGACCCATGGGGAGGGGATTTTATCTTAGGCCAGTGTGGGTCAAGGGATTTTCCAAATAGAACACCAGATGCTGAATGGCACTGTAAAAGGACCAGACTGCAGCAATGAGGAGTGTGTTTGGACCAGTGTGAGGGATGCTCCGGGCTGCCCTTGACTCTGACCTTCCCTCCAAAGGAGACCACACCTTTTACGTAGGAGACAGGAGATCTGTACCCAATAGCTGTCCATGGGCAAAAGACCTGAGGACTTCAGTACAGCAGGCTCCATTTAAACACCAGAGATGTGCAAACTTAGTCTGACATAATAGAAATAGATTAAGTGGAGGGCATCGGAGTCCTGCTGAGTGGATCAGATCTGGAGTATTGCGTCCAATTCTAGACAGCTCACTTTAAGAGAAGATGGAAAGTTACCATGCACTGAGAGGCTTATAGTTGCCAGGCACTGTTCTAAGCTTTTTACATGTGTTACTTTGTTTAACCCTCTCAACAACCCTGGGAGGTAGGTAGCATCACTACCCACATTTTACAGATGGGTACATTGAGGCTCAGAGAGGTTAAGGATTATAAACAGGGTCACACAGCTGGCAAGTGTGAACCAGGTGCAAACCACAGCAGACAGATCCTAGAGCCTACATTTTTCCTGCTGTGTCGTATTCTCTCAAGACATCTTTCTGACTCCCGGAAGGACAATAAACAAGTGAGCCCCAGGAAGGATGTCAAACTGGAACCAGAGCGGGGATGGCAGAAGACGAAAAGTTTAAGTTCAACCTTAAGGAAGGAGAAAGGTTGAAGCTGTCCCACAGTGGGAAAAGCTGCTTCACAGAGCAGAGCTCCTAGCCACGGGGGTACGTAAGTGGTGCTGGCTGACCGCGTGTCGGAGAGACTGCAAAGGCGACTGCTGTCTAGGAAGAGGGGCGGACTCAATGGAAGGTTGCTTCCAAGGCTGACACTCTAGGTCCCTCCCCTGAACTGGTCTCTCCATCTGGAAAGACAGACTCTGACACAGAAGCACAGTGTTTATAATGAGCTACACGGAGCCCACGTTTGCCCACCAATTCTGATGTATGTGATGGAGAGAAAGTGACAGCAATGTCCGGACTGCAACCTGCCCAGGACGGCCATAAAGTGAGCCAAAGGGAGGACTGTGGGAAATGTGCAGACGAGCCTCTGGTGCTGCCGCCTCGCCCTGACCAGTCATCTCACGAGGCTCTTGAGGGAGCGAGGACCTCCTCTACGCTGGCCAGAAACAGCCCTCTCCTTCTCAGAGAAACACTGAAAATACAGAGTCATCATAAAAAGTATGAAAGAGGTTCAGTGTTTCCTAACCCAACTGAGACTGCAGCACCTGTCCACACTGTCTGAGTACCCCAGAGGTGACTGACAAAGCCATGTCTCCAAAGAGAAAGGCAGAGAAGGCTGCAAAGACATGAACAACCTATACTCTGCAAATCCTTTGGCCAAGGATGAGGGCAAGACAGTCATGCTGGCTCTGAGCCAGAAAGTGGAAAAATAATCCAAAATCTCAGCCCACGAAAGAATCTGGGCTGAGAGCTGCTTCTTATCTCACTCTCCCACATGTTGCCCCATCCCCAACCATGATGCCCAGGGAAGGTGGGGAGGCATCTGCAAGCACCAACTATTTCAAGGCATTATGCTAACAACTGTGAGGAGATACAGATTTATCAGAGAGAAGAACATACATGAATGAAAATAATTCAGAACAACTTCTATTTCCAACTTGTTATTTCACCAATAAAAGGATACTTTTAAAAATATAGCTTAATAAGTATAAGTGTTGATGACTTGGCCTTGGCTCTGACAACACCAGATTTGGCAGATGCTGAGCCCGACTGGGATGCTTTCCATTTAGACTAAAGAAAGCCCTTTCTGGGGTCTCGACACTGTGCCTCCAGAACAGCTGACCAGAGGCAGCGCATCAGAAGGCATCTGAGCTCGGCCTTGTTCCTCTCAACACAGGCTTCCTTTCTCAGGCCCTGGGCCCCACTCCCTTCAAGGTTTCCCTCCACTTAGAACGTGCTTTCTTCACATCTGGGGTCTCCCCCATGAGGCCGCGTGCAGGACCTCCACCTTATTCCCCCTCAGAACCCACGTGTCTATGCTTGGATACAGCCTCACCCACAGCACAGGTCCTAGAGAGCTGGTGGAGGGGGCTGGCTCGGGCACTCGAGCATTGGCCTGAAAAGGACAAGGACCCCAGCTGCATCAACCACGACTCCTCCTGTTCCCTCTTCCCCCACCCCACGCTCCGCTCCCTCCCCCTGTGGCAGGTCCCCCCACAAAAGCCATGGGGCAAGTTCTCCTTTCTCTGCCTAGTCCCTTGGCCTCAACAGTGAGGGAGCAGAGGCACTGGGGGCAGTCAGCTCACCCACGTCCCCAGAGGCTCTCCACCCTCACATCCACACACACAGTGGCCACAGTGATGGGGTGACAGGGCAGTGGAGAGCAGGGAAAGAAGAGAATGAGTTAAGCCCGCCCTGCTGCCTGCCACCAGAGGGTCATGCTGGGTTTCAAGGAGGACACTGGTTTCTGGATTCAGAGAAGGCCTGTGCTGCAGAAGGCTAGGGCTCCTGGTGGAGAGGCTGCCCTTGAGATCATCCCCTCCTCCACTAGTCTGTGGGCAGGAGGGAGCTGTAGGCCCAGCACAGGCTAGGCTCTCTGATTCTCCCTCCAGCCCAGCTCTGCCTCCAAGCCTTTGCCTTAGCATCTCTGTGTCTTTCTTTCTGCTCGGTCAGAAGGGCCTCCTTGACTAGACCCAGAGCTGCTGACGGGCCCTCCCCTCTGTGCACATGAACGTGTAAGCAACACCTGCACACACCCTCACTCCTCCAGAGGAGGCAGCATAGGCTACCCGCCTTCCCCAGGACACAGGGGCTGGCACCTGGGGAGAGGAGGCCAGCTGGGGGCGTCATGACAAAGTAGAGCCTCTCCTCCACATCCTCCCACCTCTCTGCCCTCATCTCCGTTATCTCGCTGACTGACATGCCAGCATTCAAACCTGGGGCACGCGAGGGGCGAGGACACGCGAGGGGCGAGGACACGCTCGAACAGGAAACACAGAAACGCGCCCAAATTCTGACTGCGGTTACTCCCCCATCTCTCAACGTGGTCTGCAGCAAGTGGCCCACCATCTCAGAAATACAGATTCGTCACAGGTAAAATGGGGTAATCAAAGTCTCCCTGGACAAGCTGAAGGGAATACAGAAGATAGAACACCGAGTACTTACAGAAGATACGAATGCAGAGAGGACAGGTCTTGACAAGAAGACGCTCAGCTAACTTCATAGCATGAACTGGTTCATCCTTAAGCATGAGCACAATCCCCTTGTATGATCCTAAGGTACCGATGCTCTTTACTGAAAACCCACCATCACTCCAGCTTCTATCCACCCAGCCTCAGACAGAAACATACCCCTGCTTGAGTTCCAGCAGAATTCCTGGTCAGGCGCCCGCCTCCCTGGCCTGACATGTCAAAAGGCACCACGCGCCTGAAATCCGAGCCTGGACAAGGTGCCCCGGCTGCTCTCTTTCTCACGGCTGGAGAGGCTGATGCTCAGGTCAGTGGGTGCTGAGAGGTGAACGTGAAGCCTGGAGCAACAAGGACCCGGCGGGGCGTGCAGCAGCCCCCTCCCCGAGGAGCACAGGCCTGCCTCCGCCCGCCAGGCCGCCACAGCTCCCCAGCAACGGGCAGGGTGGCCTTCCGTGTGCAGCGCCACGCAGAAGCTCAGAAGGGATACACCCCAACGACAAGGAAGAACCCTCGGCTGCAAGCGCCTCGCCTCCCGCTCTTGTTTGCCAAGGGCAAAGTCCACTGAGGGAAGGGAGGGAACAGCTTGTCCGCTGAGCCCCCACAAAGGGGAAACCAGGTCCAAGAGACTGAGAACAGGCTAAACCCTCTGGCAGCCAGCGCAGACGCCAGGTGTGAACCCCTCCACGTGCTCCTGACTCCTTCCAGCCTTCTCCTCCATCCGCCCCATCAACACGTACAGGGGCTGCGCCCCGCTGGGCTTCCCAGAGCGCCGGGCAGCCGCAGCGCCGCCTCCCCTGGGCCCGCGGTGCCACGCGCCCCCGGGAGCCCCTCTGCAGCCACGTCCACTCCTGGCAGCCCGCCTGCTGTTGTTTCCGTTGCCTCACCAGAGACGGACAACTAAAGACCGGCTTCTCTGAGGACTGGCTTAAGGTTTCCTGCCAGAAACCCTCCCAGAAGCCTGAGGCCTTAGGCCCAGCCCAGGGCCCGGACACGGAGCCTTCCTCACCCTATGTAGACCCAGCCCTGCTCCACCACCAGAAACGCTGGCTGCAGGGCTCACCGCGAGGGTCGCTTCAGGGGGGCCAGGCCCACTCTGCCCTTCCCAACGTGCTCCCTCACCAGCTCTGAGGGGACAGCCAGGCTGCTCCAGGCTCGGCACCCTCTCTCGACAGCCGTCCTCAGCGCCCACCTCTCCCAGCCCTGTGATGACAGACAAGGGGCCCCGAGTTCTCGGCTCAGCTCCAGGCCCTCGACTTTGCAGTGCCCGACAGATCCGTTTGGATCTTTAGGTTCCAGTTTCTCTCTCTACAAGGAGACTCCTTCAGTTCCTCTCAACAGAATAACTGGGCAAGAGATTCAGCACATGTGGGGCGCACTCTGAACCTGAGCATGGGGACCCCATCTAAGCCTTGGCTCTGTGACCGGGCAAATTGTACGACCTCTGACCTGTGACCCTGGGCAAGTCGTGTGATGTCTGTCCTCAGTTACCTCACAGGTTGCCACTCTGAGGGTCCAACCAGATAACACTACACGTGGCCGGTGGCAGACGCCTCGTCCTTCACACCCAGGAGCCGCAGTCTGTGCTCTCTCAGCGTTTCTCACTGAAGGCTGCGCCCCACCGGCGGGGGTGAAACCAAGCTGAAGGGCCAAGGTATCTTTTTTTAAACAAAATAGGCCAGACTAGACTAGAATATAACAGGAAGTTAGCATGCACCACACACACTAAGGATAACACACCTTTGCTGAATTATGATAAAAAATGTATTTCTACTAGTTCCAGTCAAAAATCTCAATTAGGTCTTACTTTGAAACTTTCTTGCAGACGTTCCCACCTGTATAAACTGGCTTCCTGCCCTCAGCAGTCTGGGATGGTAAACTCCCGGAGGGTGAGAGCCGTGTCTCTGGGTTCTCAAGAATTCCCCCCCTCCCACCCCTTCCTCTGCCACAGGGCTGGGCTCGGACCAGGGTGGGCGTCCGATACAAGCTGTTCACGGGCTGGAAAGCATCCACCGAATAGAAAATTAGCATCGCAGGAGAGGAGGGACCCGCCACTGACAGTGCCAGTCACTGTCCCAAACAACGTCCCTGGAGGTCCACGTTTGCACCTCCATCTCACTGACGAGGAAACTAGAGCCCAAAGAAGTTAAGCCGTCTGGGGGCGGGGCGACCAGGATTAAGACAGCAGTTTGGATGGTCCACCACTTCCCTCTGGACCTCACTGCCTTTATCACTGCCCAGGAGATACTGCACTGCCCTATCTAATCTTCCAAACATCCTGCATTGGCCAAGATGACTCACACCACAAAGCACGCGCACACACACAGGGTAGGAAACAACACTGCATCCTTTCCTACCTGCCTTTCTCTGGCTTTCCCAATCCCAGAAGGGAGAGAGGAATGGGTGCTGGGGGCATCTAGGATTTGTCTTCCTCTTGGTCCCAGCCTTGTCCCTCTCTGCCTCTTTTGAGGCTGATTCCCCCCAGCTCACCACCCCCTCCCCCAATACCAGCTAACTGGTTACCCAGGCAACCCAGCTGGGAGGCTGCCAGTTACCATGGCAACCCAGCATGGCCGCCAGGCTGCCTTGCTTTGGAAGGTCAGGGGACCAGCCAGGCGACAGAGCTGCTGGGATGTTGCCGTCAAGACTGGCCCGGGCTGGGAGCCTACGTGCCTGAGGGAATTAAGTTCCCGCTGTCAGGGGCCCACTTCTTAGTTTCCCATGAGGTAGGATCCCCTAGCTTGGGGCAGGAGCCACAGGCTAACTTCCCCAGTGCCATGACCCAAGCCTGGTCTCTCCAAGCTTTTCATTAGAGTTCCAGTCACCTCGGTGCATGGAAGGTTTCTCAGACTGAGCAGCAACTGCTGTCATTCAGCCTAATCCTGGGCCTCCCTCTCCCGCCTCCCTTTCTGAGCAGATCTGGGAGTCAACACACATGCAACATGTGTGTGCATGCAGATACAGTCTCTTCACGAAATATGTTGGAAACAACAAAGAAGAGCTACTATTTTCTAGCACTTACTATGTGCCAGGTATGTTCTAGGTACCTTGTGTGAAGTCTCTCCATGGATCCACACAGCAAACTTATTATTCCCACTTTGCAGATAGAGTAACTGAGACTTAGAGAAGTTAAGGAGCTTGTTCAAGGTGGCACAGGTACAAACTAGCAGAGCTGAGATGAAGTTCTACGGATCAGCTTCCGAAATTTCTTCAGCTCCTGGCTCCTGCCCCTCCCCAACCAACCAATCACCTGGCCTGGCTTCAAGGAAACATTTCTAACATTTATTAAAGATTATTCAGGGGCCAGCCCAGTGGCGTGGTGGTTAAGCTTCTGTGCTCTGCTTTGGCAGCCCAGGGTTCGCAGGCTCAGATCCTGGGCACGGACATGCTTCTCAAGCCACACTGTGGCGGCGTCCCACATCCAAAATAGAGGAAAACTGGCACAGATGTTAGCTCAGGGCCAATCTTCCTCAAGGCAAAAGAGGAAGATTGGCTATAGATCTCAGCTCAGGGCCAAACTTCCTTACAAAAAAAAAAAGTATTCAGTGCCAGATGTTTTATTCATATTATTTTATTTCATTTTGTCCTCACCTCTCTGAAAGATGCTTTATTCTCCTCACGTGTCAGCTTAGGAAACTAAGACCCAAAGAAGTTAAGCGACTTTCTCAAGCTGATGAGACAAAACTTAAGGCCCATTCCTTAGGGAATCTTGACTGTCCCCGGAGAGTATACCACTCTCTTTCTTGGCCACCAGTGCAGGCAGCCTGTGTCTCCATCACATACGGAACAGTCATTTGCCCACGTCTGCTCCCTCACTGGACTGTGAGTTTAAAAGTTCACTTTTGCAACCTAGTACCTGCCTGGTAGATACTGAGCATATAGTCACCATTTGCCAGAAGAAAGTGGGGGCC